CCTGGTCATAATTATAGTTTTTGTTAGTAAAATATAATTGTAAATATTTTTAATTTAATTTACAAATCCTACTGATACGATGGGACACCCGATATTTTAATTTTATTTGTAAATGTATTTTTTAGTTATTTAGTTATATAACATTTATTATTAGTATATTTGGTATGGGCAAACTTGTTTATTCATAATATGCTATTATTATATTAAAATATTTTGTTGCTTTATTTATTTTCAAGGGTGAGTGTATTTATACTTAAATTAAATATTATTTGTTGTAGTAACAGGCTAACTTACATTTAGTGGTTGTAGTAAATATGGAGCACATGAATGGCTTTCCAGTAGTTTCTTAAACATTGTATTCAGTGATACGAGTGGTAAGAATTTGTTGATGTTTTGCATAAAGTTTTTTCGTACTTCTGGCTTATCCATTGTTTTGTATTGTATTGTACAGTATTACTTTAATATAACTTACTGTAGTATACAAATTATTAATTAATTAAATTTAAAATTTTAAAATAAAACACAAACATTAATTGTATTAATAATGAACACCTGAATATAAAGTATCGAAATGCTTTATAATTTATAGTATGATTAGATATACACACAATAACTACTAAATGGTTGCAAAACACTGTGAGTTAACCTTAACATTATATATTTAATAGTACTGTGTGGTATTGTATTAGGGCTGGTATGTTGTGACTACATTTATGGCTTACGTGACAGTGTCAATTTTAAAACAAACAAAATTTAATTACTTTTGCATAACATTAGAGTTAAACTTGATATTTAAACTTATAATTATTGTATAACTAAAGTTATTTAAACAAATCTTTAAATAATTTTATTATGTAATGTTTTAGGAATTTAATTTATTAATAAAACTTATAAAATTTCAAATTTAAAATAGCTAGTAATAACTCGTTTACAATAACTAGTTACCAATAAGTAAAGTATATAACGTAAATATGAAAAGAGTCAAATTGATTTTAAGATATTATTACTGATAACAGTACCGGTATTTAAATGTCTAATAATTTATTATACAGACAAATATTTTGGGTTTCTGCCAATTGTATAAATTATACAAATAAGTTTGAATTTGTCAATATATCAATAAAATACAGTAAACATTTTTAACAAGTACTATCAAAAAATACTTTAAATAAAAGTAGCATTTTTAAAACAATTTTATCAAAATAAATATCAATAATAACAAAACATTTTTAGCTTTCAGTTCATAAAATTTATAGAAATAAATAATTGATATTTTATAAAATTAATTTAATAAACTCGTTATAAGTTACCACACCTAAAAATAATTTAATAATAATACTTTAGCTGTAATTTCAGTCGTACGGCCACTAATACACAGTTTACTAATGCATTGCAAAATACCCGCAATAATGGACCCCTGAATGCTATTAGGAATAACCTACCTTACCAAAATACAGGGTTAAATAGTTACCAGAATAATTATCAGAATGGCGGAATCGAGTACCAGAATTATAAGACTTTGGTTGAGATGGGTTATTTTAATAAGATTTTAATTTTATTATCTTATTATTAATAATCATTTTTTATTAATAATAAACAATAATAGACAGTAATTATGATCATATACTTAATTATATTTGTTAAATGAATTAAAATCTAAATTATTTTTTTAATTTAATCATAGTTAACAAATAAATTAGCTATTAATACAAAACTACTCTAATTTTAAAAGCTCATTAAAATAGTTTTAAAAAGTTTTAATAATAGTCAAATCAATGGTGATGGTCAACTTTATTTTAATTACATTTATTTGTTGAATATATAAATTAAATAATGTTTTCATTACAGCTTTTGGGAGACTTTCTATACATCGCGCCGTCCGACTACGTGGCGCGCCTACACTCACAGGGAGGCGGTAAAGTCTGGCTGTTTGCCTTTGAATACGAGGGCACTCGTAGTTTCGGACCCATACAGAAAAACGCACAGCACATCTCCAAACAAACTTATGGTGTGTCCCATATGGACGACCGATTCTACGCCTGGATCACCGAATACATACGCGACAGCCCGGCCGCCGAGAGATCCCTGTCCAACACATACGCCAAACAATTCTACGTATTCACCCGATTGGGACAAATACCATCCGGGTATATGAGTTTCTACTCGTGGCAACAGTACACCTCCCATAACCCCTCATACCTCCAATATCAGTGGCGTACCGGACAGTACACCCCTGTGTTTAGATATGCAAATACGCCAAACGAGGGCTACCGGACCAGTCAGGCAGACTTTTTCAACCAGTTCATTATGCCGTTGCAGGATAAGACTAAAATATATCCCAGTCCATTCCCGTACTCCGAGTTTAAGGGATACCGGGCCGCCACGTGGTCTCTCATGGGTTTCGCTATATTACTGCTCATCCTATTGATCGCCATTTTAGCCGTACTTTGTTTCCGACGGCAGAAGAATAATGAGTTAAAACTTTTGCGCAAAAATGATAAGGAATTGGAGGAGAGGTTCAACACTACGTAAAGAATATTCTTTAATATTTTTCTATCAAATTCTTGTGTATTATTAGTTTTGTATTTATTTCTTATTAATTACTCTCTGTTTCTTAATTTATGCTGAATTGAGTTGATGTTAATTAATAATTAGTTATTATGCTTGATCATAATAACGTACCGTTCCCATTGTATAATTTCTGTCCCCTTTCATTTTATTTTTTGAATTTTTTGAATTTATACTTTAAAATTTGTTTATTTAACTTATTATTATGATTTGTATTAATTGTGATTTTTGTAGTGATGCATAACATTTTTAATAGTCATTAAAACTAACATTTATTTATGTTTTTCATATAATTTTCAATTAATTTGAATGTAATTTTGCTAAAATAAAATAATAAAATTTTTATACATATTTATTATTAAAATACTTATTTCTATTTGCAGGTCATATGAATCGGAAAGGCTTTAGAAACAGTTTTATATTTGTTTTAAATTCTTATCATTAATCAATAATTTATAAAATATATATATACAAAAAGAAATAAAATTCTTTATTCTTTTATAACAAATAAATGTAATTATTTTTCTTTATATAGACCAGGGTTGAAATACAAATCCCTGTCTACAGTCTTCATAATTAGTTCCGGACGTTGAGTCTCATCAGCTTTGCTCAATTCATCCGCTGTCTAAACATTATTTATATTTAAAATTAGTTTCAAGTTTTTTATTAAATTAAAAATATACCTTGTTAAATATTTGTGTCAAATTCAAGTCCCACGCATATTCAGCAATATAATGGCTGAATGTCTGTCCAAATAAAGTGTATCCATTTGCATCAATAGCATGGATACCTTTAAAATTAAATTCATGTTAATATAATCATGTAATAATAATTGGTAATAATTTGGTGTTACCCTTAGCCCATGCATATAATATGAAGGTGCGAGTGGTGCCGTCCATCCAGTCCCACTCAACAGAGTGCTGTACATTTCGGATATCATCTGTTTTCAATTAATTGTAAATATTTGTCAGATTATAATTAATTTTTCTCAAACAATGTAGATCAGTGATGTCTGAAATATTAAAAAATCAAAAATATATGGCACATAATTTATATATTTCATATAGATTATCATTGGATAAAGCTCTCAGCAAGAACAAATATTACTATTTTGACAGTATACAAAGTTACCTGAAAATGTGTAATTTCTAGACATTTCTAAATTGCTTATTTAGTATAGGATTAGAGTTTTAAAAATATTCAAGAATTCTACCAATTGAGTCTAATCATCTATATTTTTATCAGTCAACATATAAAACATAAAAATACCAAAATAAATACTTTATTTCAATATTACAGTTTATAATTTTCATTGAATACTTTATATCTCTCACTAACACTAATGTATTACTTTATTTGTGAGACTAATATTTGAAGGATATTAATAACGTGTGAGAGTTTGACTCAACGTTTGACTCCTTAAACAGGTCTCATGTCAATAGTTTTGCATTTGTTTTAATACTCACTGGTCTGACAGCAACTAAATATAAAAATCTTGGGCTTAGGTCTGTAGGTCGCGTGACAATTCCTCTCATAAAACTGATCCACGAGTGTCTTAATATGAATCTCATCCTGGCCTTGACCACTACCCTGGATCAATTCATTGTGCCCATGGCCAATAAACATGACAATTATGGCATCCTTTTTGAACTCCTGTTGTGAGGCGAGCTTAAGAGTGTCCAGAATCTGATCGCACGAGTAGTTCACGTGAATATCGACCGAGAAGTATAGCTGTTGGAAAATGTGGTCAAAACGTTCTGCCTCCTTTTTGAGCTCATCCAGCTGTAGAAACACGATTACCCGCCCCCTGGGGGGGTACCCGTCCATAACGAACCAACGGGAGGCGCCCGAGCGCAAGGTGTTTGCGTTCTTAACGGTTAGCCTAACATCCTGTGAGTATACGAGAGGTGCTGTCCACCAAATGTAGAGCTCCAGCTCCCGGGCGGCGTCAGGTTGGTCAGACTTCCTCAGAAAGTCAACCAGCTCATAGCACGCATTACGATCCCGGTTAAATTCAGTAAATATGAACACCTTTTTCGCGGTTATATCGGTAATTCCCTATGAATCACGTGTTTTAAGTTTAATTTTAGCATCTGATATAATCCAAGATCAATTTGAAGCAAATGCTCTTAATGTTTTGACTCTGATCATATACAACAAGTGAGTACTTGTCAACTTATGCAAACTTATCTATTAAAAATAAGTTATTATATATCAGAATCAAACTATTACGGGCACCGTGTTTCAAATTGATCTGGCTTATAGTATTGAATCAATATTGATACTAATTATAGTCAGATGTTGTGACTTAATGTTTTGCCTTTGAACTGCTATTAGAGATATTAAATATACGTATTGAATTAATTAATGAAAATGTTTGATACCTATTCAAAGTCAAGCCATTCAGTTGAAACAATTTTAAACTATTAACATTCATAATAAATATACTGTAATTAAAATAGTATACTTGTAGTGTCCTGATTAGGTTATGAGCACAGGTATGTTTTTCCAATAGTGTCATAAACAATGGACTCAATGTGACGAGTGGTAGGAATTGGTCCATGTTTTGCATAAATCTGGTCCGTACTTCTGGCCAGTGAGCTCTTGATGGCTTTGACTGGTTATACTGCATCAATGCTGTTGCAGCTTCTTCCTGGTCACTATGCCTCAGTATTTCAACAAGCTCATCGCCCGCACTACGATCTCGGTTAAACTCAGTGAATATGAATTCCTTTCTAGCGTTTTCATTATTAAACGGAAGATTCTATTTGTGATTATATGGATTATTACAGTAGATTAAAAACTAACAAATTTGTAAATGAATAACTAATTGTTTTTATTTATTTTTTTTATTGTTTGCATTATTTAAAGCCATTTGAGAATAGATGACACTTAAAGTATTGAGTCTATAATAAACATGATTCTAACATGGCCATTTAACTTACATTTAGTTCTTTAAATAGATCTTGAGCACATGAATGACCTTCTAATAGCTTCATAAACATTGTATTCAGTGATACGAGAGGTAAGAATTTGTCGATGTTTTTTCGTACTTTTGGCTTATCCATTGTTCGGTATAAATCAGTATAAATGAACCAGGTTTATTTTAAATATAGCTAAAAATTGAGATAAACAAATATGAAATGAATTATTTTTAAATTGAAATATTTAATAAATTTTATACAATATAACTTATACTTAAAGAAATGTCCACATAACACAAATGGCTAAATTGATAAAACAATATAAAATGTTTTCAGTTAATATAATGTTTAACAATTGTTATATTACTATATGGATGACAATAAGCCGAAGCCGACCTCGGCCGGCCGAGGCACGGGTTTGTCTCAGGTTGGTATTCAGAAATATTATATTCCAGGAGGATCTTAAGTTTCTAAAATAACCCCATTCTGGAGGCCATGTTTCTAAATGGCCAGAACAATTATATATTTAACAAGTAATATTAGAACCAGTTAGACCAATTTTGCATAGGCTTATTATGGAATATTGAGAGAATTTATTACTATTGTGTTAAATAAATATCAGTGTATAACAGGAACACACTTCAAATTTGGACGGTTCATATATAATTTAATATCGTAATATAATTAGTATAAATTAAGTAGGCTGAGGCTTGCCTGATATCCAGGGGGTAATTCTTGATATTGCATGAGGTAGATGTCGAAATTCATTCATGTTCTGGGCTTAGCCTGAAGTCCATGATTTTCAAGCTTATGACCATCTTTGATGATAACAGTTAAATATTTATACGTTATAAATCTATCTTAAAATATATAATAAAAGAATTTAATCTTTGTAACCAATAGTTTTATTGTGCTACGGTTTTTGTGAAGGAATTTTGTTTTATGACTTTAGGTTCACTTTATTATATATTATTAATAATTGTACTTTTGGATTAGGACTTGCCATAATATTGAAGCCTATTGTTCATATAATGTTAGTCTATATTTGCTCAACATAAAAATCACCAGTTTTTTTATGGCCGCCATTTTTATATTATAATTTAACTTTTAATATAAAAATTTCTGTGATAATCACATTAACATGTCAGAACTTGTAAATGAATTTGAAATTTGTGATAATGTTTCTGATAAAGTAAAAAAATCAATTGCTATTTTTCATGTTTTTGAAATATCGTTGTCACCCAATGTACTGTTTATTACAACCGATGACGAGGTGTTCGCTTCAGGCGGTAATTCGTCCGGATGTCTCGGTTTAGGGCATAATATGTTCGTCGAATCGCCGCAACCAATACCAGAATTAAGTCACAAAAGGATTCAACAGTTTTATATCGGCGGCGACTTTGTGCTGGCTATTAGTTACGCCAACGATGTATACAGTTGGGGCCGAAATAATTGTGGTCAGTTAGCTAGATGTGTTACACCGAAAGTCATTTACTACCAGCCTCAGAAAATAACATACCTTAATAAAAATGTTGTTAAAGCTTGTTGTGGTCTTCAGCACAGTCTGGCCCTCACCACCGATGGACAGGTGTATGTGTGGGGCAGCAATAGAGGCGGACAACTTGGTTGTATTATACCAGGTCATTATACATCAGAACCAATATTGTTAAGCATTGCCAGTAATTTGCGCATAGAATCAATATTTTGTGGCTTTAATTCATCGTTTGCTATCACTCTCAATGGACTTGTATATAGTTGCGGCATAACAGATATTAAGCAAAATAATCCCGCGAAATTTGAACAAGTAGCAGGATTAAATGATGTGACATCAATTGCTATAGGACATTGGTATGATGGTGAACAATTCAATGAAAATTTCTTCAAAGAAACGGTCTATTTTCTAAACACATCTGGTTCATTATTAAAAGTAAGCTAGTAAAAACACTTGTTTACTTTTTATGCAATTAAAATTTAACTAATAATACTTTTAACATATTAAAGTATTTAACATACTGAATACTGTTTTTATTTGCATGAAATTGTATTTTATCAGGGGTATCATAATAGTAAACATTTGATTGATTGACTTTAGTAAGTAAGTACACACCAAGTGGGGAAAAGATCAAGCATACTACCATTTTAGGGTCCTATGTTGTTTTATTCTCAATCTAGCCAAATACTAGGCTATATTCATTATAGCATAGTGTTAAGGCTAGCTTTGGCCATATTGAGAATAAAACAAGTTTACTTTTGGAATTACCCTTTATATACAATCGTGGAATTAGTTAACTTTATGGGTAAGAAATTTGCTACGCTAAAACGGATAATCCAATCCTAATCCTCTCTTCACTGTTTTATAGCCCCAACTTCGCGGTTTGTAAAAAATTTTTATTTAGTGTAGAAATCTACCATGGTAACTGCGCCATTTGAGTTTACAAAAAAGAGGTTTTTCCATTGAAAATACATTAGATTTAGTCATAGAAAAAGCACAGTAACAATATTGATTGATAAAAACCTTAATAATTCCTAAATTAATCATGATAAAATTAATCTATTTAAAGCCATTTTAAAGTATATGATCCTGATTATTCCCCCGAAGACAGGACATTTCTAGAGCAATTATTAGTGTATCAAACTTGATTTTCTGTACAGCAAAAACTATACTAGATAAAATTAATCTGATGACTGGAATTGAAAGATAATTAAAAATAAGCGAGTACCTTTTTAAGAATTTTTTATTATCATTGAATTTGTATTTTTAATTTAAGAAACTAATGTCTAATAAATAATTTTGTATAAAATTTACACTTTGATAATTATTATTAATAAGAAATTTAATGGTAATAAAAATTCCTGAAATAGATACTCGCTTATTTTGAATTATCTTTTAATTCCAGTCATCAGATTAATTTTATCTAGTATAGTTTTTGCTGTACAGAAAATCAATTTTAATTTACTAATAATTGGTCTAGAAATGTTCTGTCTTCTGGTGAATAATCAGGATAATGTGCACTAAATTCTCTTAAAATAGATTAATTTTATCATGGTTAGTTTAAGAATTATTATGGTTTAACTGATCAATATTGTTACTGTGCATTTTCTATAACCAAGCCTAATGTATTTCAATGGAAAAACCTTTTTTTTGTAAACTCAAATGGCGCAGTTACCATGGTAGATTTCTACACTAAATAAAATTTTTTTACAAACCGCGAAGTTGGGGCTATAAAACAGTGAAGAGAGGATTAGGATTGGATTATCCGTTTTAGCGTAGCAAATTTCTTACCCATAAAGTTAACTAATTCCACGATTTTATATCTATATTCAATAAAAAAAATATTAGTCACTGTGTTTACTAATTCTTAACTATTCAATTTTTCCATTCTATATAATTTTAGGTCGAAAATACACCAATAACCTACGATGATAAAATAGTTCAATACCGAATAATTCAAATCAACAAAGAATATAATTTTATAGAGATTAAAAGTTTTAATTCTGTGTATATTAAGTATAACACCATAATACTTTCAACCGGATCGACAATTTTTAAATTACACAAAGATTCTCTCGAACGTACAACATGTGAAAATTTCGCTCATTATTATACATCTGAACTACAGTTAACCTATAATTCTATAAATTTTCGTGAAAACTATTATCAACGAACATTTCATGTGATGCATGAAATTGGTGCTGGTGGTTTTGGAAGTGTTTATAAAGTATATAAAAGGGATGATTTCAAAATATATGCTATTAAAATTGCTAACTTTACTGGTACGTTAAGTTATATTTTCAAAATTTATTCATTATCGAGCAAATATGTACATAGCGATTTCTCAACTTCCTTATAAATAATTAATATTTATATTAGAAGCTTTATTCAATTAAAAATATTCTAGAATTTAATTCATACTTTATCAAATATAAACAAAAATATTAATAACATTACTATTTGCTATAAGTAGTCTCTCAAACTCATACATGTTTGACTATAATTTATTTCATGAGAAAATTGTTAATAAAAATGTAAAATTATTATATTACACCACCAAATAGATTTTTTGGAAAAAGAAAGAGCAAACACGTTTAAAGAAAAAAAAAATTTGTCAAAAGTTAAGTCAAAATATTGTGTTAAATATTACGACTCATGGCTTGAAAGGGACTGTTATTACATACAAATGGAGTTGTGTTCGCAGAGCCTGAAGAATATTCTACAACACAAACCGAAAGAATTTGGGCGACAAATCGGAGATACCATGAATTCATACGAATATTACATTTCGTGTGAAATATTCCTCGAAATTTTAGAATGTGTTCAGTATTTGCATAAATTGGATCCGCCGGTCATTCACAGAGACCTCAAACCAGAAAATATATTGATTAATGAGAACGCGAGGAACGGTAGGTTTGTTAAGTTATGTGACTTTGGTTTGGCTACAGTTCACGAGAAAAGTATTCATCGGATGAAAACTAAGCTGACGGCATATGTGGGAACCGATGGATATATGGCACAAGAGGTTAGTCGAGGAGAGGAATATAACAATAAGTGTGATATTTTTAGCCTGGCTATTATCGGGACTGACATATTTGAGCTTAATATGTCAACATTCGACAAGAAAAAGTATTAGTATTTTATTTATAATTAAAATTAAAATTTATTTATTTATAAAATTATATTTATAGCCCGCAACCTTACTCTATACTACTCCATAATACTAACTTAAATGAACCGGTACTTCATTTACAAACTGTATTGAGTGCAATGCAATCGACCCCTAAATGGAGGAAAAGACCAGAATGTAGTGAAGTGTTGGCTCAATATAACAAGTGGTCAATAGACAAGAATATTCTTGCGAGTGATCCACAGTTTTCAAAGGATTACAATAGACTCAATGAAAAAAAGAATTCATTTTATACCAAATACTTTCAGAATATAATTCTTAAACAGGTGACCTCGCTCCCTATAAAATTATCGGAAATTATCGATATTTTAAATGGTTCTACCCCAAAAGGCCTAAAACCGAAAAGGCTTAAACTCAAATAACTAACTGACCAGTGGACATAGATTTAATTAGATTAGTGGAATAGGCGTGTCTTGACCCAACCTAACCTAGCCTAACTTAAATTAAGCCAAATTACCATTGGTCAGTTAGTTATTCAAGTTTAGGCCTTTTGGGTGAGTCCTATTTTAAATAAGTAAACTACTATATTTGCATTATTTAATTAATCAAAGAATGATATATTTATATTTTAATTTTTAAATTACACAAAGATTCTCTCGAACGTACAACATGTGAAAATTTCGCTCATTATTATACATCTGAACTACAGTTAACCTAT